AGGGAGCCCGATGCGGGACTCGATCCCGGGACTCCAGGATCATGACCTGAGCCGAAGGCAGTCGCTTAACCAACTGAGCCACCCAGGCGCCTCTCCTTATTTTTTTTTTTTAAAGATTTTTTATTTACTTGACAGAGACAGACACAGCAAGAGAGGAAACACAAGCAAGCGGAGTGGGAGAGGGAGAAGCAAGCTTCCTGCTGAGCAGGGAGCCCGATGTGGGACTCGATCCCAGGACCTGAGCCGAAGGCAGACACTTAATGACTGAGCCACCCAGTCGCCCTATTTCTTTTTTTTTTTTTGTAAATATTTTATTCACTGATTTATCCCAAGACTAAAGCAGCATCTACCACATTGTAAGCATGTAATATTTTTGAACAAATAGACCTGTAATCCTTAATTAGGACTACAATTTTATTTTACCATCTTTATGCATCCTTGACTCTTTCATTTTCAAATGTTTTCAATAATTTTCAAGTCCCTAAATCAATTCTAAACCTCTTCATTATCAGTGAACCTTTGATTGTCTGAAATGCAGGGCATCTAAGCTCAATTGCTTCAACTTTCTTCTTGGCAAAATGGGTATCACACCTATTCTCGTCAAGGATATACAGTTGTTCACTTTTAATGTTAACTAATTTCCCCATCTCGCTCAGCTACTTACTCTATTCTTAAACATTTCTCTACCCTTGTTTTTTAAAAATCTATCAGTCATGTACACTGTAGGCTAAAAGCCATACCGATGCTATTATCTTCTCATTCCTTCTCTACTACAAATGTTTCCCAAAGACACTGACTGGCTCCACATCCTCATCTCTAAGTTAATCTTGACCATAAAACAATGCAGGTTTCATTACCATATTTTATTTATAATACCTTACGCCATATTTACAAGAACCTTTTCTGAGAAAAAAAAATCCTATACATTAAAAAATACATATAATGTGAAGTCTTCTATAATCCCACCTGACAGAAAGACATTTATTAACAATTTGGTGTACAGCTTTGCCACATTTTTTTCCCTATGCATAAACATATGTACTATTGGATTTCCAAAAATCCAACGTTACATCTCATACCTAATGTCTGCCAACTTTATTCATGTACTCTATCTAGGCCACATTCCTTACTAATATATATTCATTTTACCTCATTCTTTGACAGTAGTCCAGCCTACCAATATACTATAAGGTGTCCTTTCCTCCTATTGATGAGAATTTGGGTGATTTCTATTGTTTCATAATAAAAAAACCCTTTACTGATTAAGACTATTCATTCCTCATTTTGTGTCATCACAGGATCTCATCTTCTTAAAACTTTCTTCTCTTTGCAACAAAGAAAGATAATTTCTTTTCTAGTTCTACTTCCTTTTTAACTTCTCCCTCCCATTCTCCTTTCCTGGCTTGTACTTTCCTTTGGGCAACCATATCCATTCACCTGATTCAAGAAACTCCATTTTTGACCCTGTCTTAGCTCTAGAGCCATATTTTTAACTATATTAAAAATATTTCCGGGGCACCTGGGTGGCTCAGTTGGTTAAGCGCTTGACTTCGGCTCAGGTCATGATCTCAGGGTACTGGGATCAAGTCCCGGATAGGGCTCCCCGCCCAGCAGGGAATCTGCTTCTCCCTCCTCCTGCCCCTCCCCCTGCTCGTGCTCTGTCTCTCTCTCAAATAAATTAAAAATCTTAAAAAAATTTCCATAGAAGTAGCTCAACAACTCTTCAAGTTAATAGGTAACAGTGGGAATTCACTACCTACCGTTGCAAACATCCTCTGAATCCTGCCCTTAATGTCATCTAATGTAATAACCCAATACTGCAGTCCAAAAATCCCCAAATTTCTTTCTTTCTTAACCTCTATATCTATAGGGATCACAAGATCTACAAACTCAATCTTTATTGAGTATATACCTACTTTTTCCTTTGTTTTTTTTCTAGACTTATTTGGATCCTTTATCTTGCGTTGGCCATTATAACATTTCTCTTGTCTTGACTTTCCACTTGGTCTTCTTACCACTAATCTTTTCCGCATCTAATCCATTACATGAACACTACCAGATCTTTCACAGTCCTGACCATATTATTGCGCAGCTCAAAAGTAATCATGCCAGAAGTAGTATCTACTGAACAAAATTCAATCCCTCCCTCCCACCCAAATTTAGACTCAACCTATTTTCCAAGTCCTATTTCCAACTTAACCTTTAGTTTTTGCTCTACCTACAACTTTCTATGGCCCACAGCTTCACTTAGTGTTCTCCCAACCTGAAATGCCCATGTCCCTTTGTTTACTTCTCAAAACCCAAGTAATTATTAAGGGTCTACCTCAAAGGTCACCTCCTTCGTGAATGCATCTCTAGGATTTGTTTTTTAATATATGTATTTTCCCTCTAATACTTAAAATATCTTATTTTGCCATAGTGAGCGTTATCAGTCTTTGCATTCTTTACAACTTATTTTTAATCACATATAAATTACAATTTTAATTTGCTTTCCAGTTAACCTATTCTTTTTTTTTTTTTTAAAGATTTTTTATTTTTTATTAGAGAGAGAGAGTACAAGTGGGGGAGCGGCACACAGAGGTAGAGGGAGGAGCAGGCCCCCAGCTCAGCAGAGAGCCCGATGTGGGGCTCGATCCCAGGACCCCAGGATCATGACCTGAGCCAAAGGCAGACGCTTAACCATCTGAGCCACCCAGGCGCCCCTCCAGTTAATCTATTCTTATGCCCAAATACCTAAACTTTGGGGAAGATTTGCCAACTGATAAACCAAATGCAGTCTGTGGGGTAAACTCTTGAAACACAGGTGCTTTTGTTTTTGAAAACGGTAGTTCAACATTATGTTCCACTTTTGAACAAAGATTAGTTAATAGGAAATTGCTGATAACTTTCATAGTTAAAAAAAGTCATACCTTTATAGCTGCTTTTTCATTAGGGAAAGTAGCAAAAGCTGTATGTTTCTGAAAAAGAATTAAGGTACAAATTATTTCTAATACAATTTCAGTTTTTCATAAGAAATCTGACTTTACCAGCTGACAGTTATTTCACAAATTAATAAAGTCATGGAAAAGGATGGAAAATCGAGATCACTGTAACTGTTTATTAATTTCAGCACTGTAGTTCTGAATCTTTTTTGGATCAGAGCTCCTTGAGATGACAGCTATGTAGCCTTTTATATAAAGGTGTACACACATATACACCATGTTTTACATACACTTTCAAATAGTTCAACAGACCAGAAGTTTAAAACCCCTACTCTACTAAAGGACAACCCTTAAAGTATCTTCAGTTTATAATATATCTAAAAATCTTAAACTTCCCTCTATACAGCCAAATACAAAGTTTAAAAATGTTTACCAACCAAAAATCATTTCTCAAGTGCATGGTTCCTTTGTGCTTTATCCTTGTAATAAGGGTTCAATGGGAGAAGTCTATTTTAAAATATAAACTGTAAGTTTAAAAACCATCAGAAAAAAATAAACAGTAAATGAATCATTACCACGGATAATGTTATCAGTTCTTAACAGTGCTTATTAAAGCTTTTACAAGTTGCTTGAGTATTTATGTAACACATTCTAACTTTGTCTAATCTGATGATCCAAGATGACCTAATTAAGAGTCCTTAAACCACACAGAGTATTTGTATTTGCTGGTATAGGTGACACTTTGATCAAAATTGGTCAGTCTTCTCAGTACTTCTCAACCCTGGTTGCATATTAGAATCACGTGAGGAGACTAAAACCACTGATATATGGCCGAATCACAGACCATCTTGCAGAAACTTAACATCACCATTACTATTTTAACAGAGAGAAATCCATCTAAAACAAAAGCAAATGAAATAATTGGGTAAATTCTTGTGTAGAAACGTTTTTCTCCTGTGTAGAAACCTTTAATAGTCTTAAAAATATTATTCCAACTGATTCCGTCAGAAAAATTTTTATTAAGAGTTTTTTTCCTAAAAAATCGGGTAGAAATTCTGTAACTGGTTTACTGAAGTTACTACTGTACTTTCTCCTCTGTTTTAATGAATGTCTTAACAGTGGCTTATAAATAACCCAACATTTTTAAAAAGTCCTTTGTACTTCATATCTGCGAGTACTCTAACTCTAAAAGAAATGCTCTCAAATTCCGAGGAGTTTTGAGATTCTCAAGATAGGTCAGAAAAACGGATGTAAGCTATTTTCCATTCTTCTGCCTTGACTTTCTCACTGCTCTTTTCGACAGCGCTGTGACATTTAAAAAGCTCAAGACATTTAGAACTTCACTTGGTACGCAAAACATTTTGACCTAAGAGAGAGAAGACAGGGAAGACCCCACTACAAGAGCGCATTTTCCCACCCTCTTCTACTTCCTTCTGTCAAAGCTTCCCCCACCCTGAGTCTACCCAAGGGCCTTCCCTGGCGGCTTCGGACGGGCGCGCCCTTACCAGTCGTCCCTTATCTGACAGGACGCGCACCGACTGCGCCCCGAAATATTTCAGCAAGTCCTCTTTCTCTTCGGCGGTCAGCTCGGCTGGCAGGTGCCTCACTAGAAGGGTTCGGTCGCCCCGCGGCGGGGAGAGCGAGGCAGAGCTCTGGCATCCTCTTGACATCGGCGGTAGTGGCTGCTCAGGGGCCGCCATTTCCCTTGGAGAAACCGCAACAGGGAAGGCGAAAAACGAGCACGCAGTGAAAACGCGCTAATCAACAGAAGCTGAAGATAAACGAGTATTTTTCCGCCTCGCGCTAAGGATTCTGGAAACAAGGAAGGACCGCGATAGAGGGTCACCTTCTCGCGAGATTTGCGCCTGGGACGGCGGAGTCTTATTCAGAGACCGGCTCCTCAAACTGAAGGACTAGGTTCCACGGCGGTGGGAGAGCAAAGTGATTTTTAAATTCCGGGCAGCTGCTGAAGGTATTAAAAACAAAAAATTTCCATGGAGAAGCGCGAGGATTTAAAAAGTTGTCAAAGAAGGAATAAGGGGCCTCAGCCGCGTGAAGGAAAAGGCCATAAACCCAAGGACAGAAGAAACCACTGCTGCGCGTGTGCGAGCCGGGAGCGAGTCTGGGCGTGGCCGCGCGGTCTGGAGCTCAGCTCACTAGGTTCCTGTTACCCGGCCAATTGCGGAAGCGCATTTGACTGGCTGTCTGGGAAGGAGGACTTGGTGTGGGATTAACTAACCGGTGTGTGCTTACAGTCTTGGGATGGTGAAACCGAAAGATAGGAAATTCTTCGACTCAGTAAGGTGCACGTAGGTGGGAGAACTTAGTTTAAGGAACAAAAAGTTAAGAAATGTGTTTTGTTTTCTTGAATCGTGCATATAGCAGTCTAATAGGCTCTGGCCAGTGTTCATTTCACGGAATTGGCGGCCTCTAAGGAGATAAACCCTAATGAATATGAATAATTATATAGATAAATCGATCGATAGATAGATCTTCATATATTTAATTCTAATAACGACCCTAAGGGGTATACTCTTTCCCATTTTACCTTTAAGGACATTGATGTAAAATGAAGTATAAGTCACACAGCTAGTAAATGACAAAGCTGAGATTCCACCCTGCTAGTGTAACTGGGCATTATACTTTAATCCACTATCCTGTCTAGTTTCTGAATGGAGTTAAGGCAGAGATCATCCCAAGAAGTGAATCAGAAATGTCTCCCTCACTCCATACAGTGAGGGCCTTAAGGATTCTAGAGAGAGGTATTCTCTACAGTCTGCTACATTGTGCACAGGGGCTGGAGACCTAAGGACCCTCTGCCTGCTCTTTATTTGCTACTTAATTAGGTGTTTAAAATATAACAGTAAACAATACAGCAAACTTTTGCTTTCATGCAGCATTGTTTGAGAAGCAGGGGAGGGACAGACTTCAATAAAAACTAGAAAAAGCATGGGAAAACGCGAAAATGTCAGTTAGGAGGAGCCAGACCTTGATGGCCCAGTATGTTTGTTTGGAGTCTTGTTTATCCCGAGAGTAATTGGAAACTGACAGATTTTTCTAGTAGGGGTGTGTGTGTGTGTGTAATGATTAAATTTTGGATATGAAAATTTATCTTTGGTTGCAGTGTAAAAAATATAGTAGAAGCCAGAAGACAGTTGGGCTACTACAATACCCAGGTAAAAAAAACAAAACATTGCTTGAAATAGTTTGGTAACAGTGGATACAGAGAGAAGAATCTGGAACTGAAATATATTTGGGAAGTAGAATTGATAGAGTTGTAGATGAAGAAAAGTAGTTAAGGATAGTTCTGGGTTTTCATCTTGAGCCCCAAACTGTTCACCATCTAGGTGGATGGTGATGATGTCATGTTTTGAGCATGAGAACAGGGACTAAAGTGTAGCTAGATTAGGGACTGCAGGGAAGGGTGGAAAAGGGAGGAACACATATTAAATTTAAGGTACCTAGTCAATATCCATGTTTCAAGTAGGCAATTGGATGTAAATTTAGTATTCTAGAGAAATATCGACACAAGATGCACATACAGCATCAACACATATAATATTTACCAAGGGATGAGAGATAGTGTAGGCAGGAAGAGAGAGGCCCAGTATTGATCTATGGGGCATGTCAATGTTGGGAAATGGAGGAGAGAGGAAGAACAAGATAATAATCCTTTCTCTCTTGGCACTTACATTCTAGTAGTAAAGATAGACCATAACATGTAGATAAGTAAGTTCCTTTGGAGAGTAATATGTGCTTTTGGGGGAAAAAATAGAGACAGGGTAGAGGGATAAACTGTGATTGGAGAAGGCATGCTACTTTAAACACTATCCTTTGTAGGCTTTTGTCCGTGTCTTTCACCATTATCATCTTACTAATGATATCATCATATCTTATCCTTCTCTTGTCAATAGCTCAGGCAGATCTCATAATTTCTTAGTCACTTTCAGTTAATAGTCCCAGCGGACTCAAAATGTCAACTCTAAATTATATTCAGGCCTCACTTTTTACCCTCGTCTCATATCAGCCTTCACCTAAGAGATAGGAGGAAGATATAATTTGCTTTCATCTCTCCCACGTTTGAGTAGGAGTGGGTGTGGTCTGCTCTGTGTTGCACGTTTCTCATTTTCTTTTCTTGGATTACCACAGAGGTTCCCAAACTTTCTCAGCTCATGGTGCTTTTATTGTCTCAATAGTTTTTTTTAACAGCATCCCTTGGTGCCTCCTCACTTCCTGTTCCACCCTGATTTTACACAGCAACAGGAAAAAACCCAGGTTTGCAAAGATTTTTAAATTCAAAAATATTTCAAGCTGGTAATTCATGTAGTGTCCGACAGATTTTGATTATTGCCGTTTCCCTCAAATATTGAAAATATTCCATAACAGGGGCATCTGGCTGGCTCAGTCTTGCTCTTGGGGTCATAAGTTCAAGCCCCACGTTGGGTGTGGGGATTACTTTAAAAATAAATAAATAAAAGTTAAAAATAAAATATTCCATAGCACCTCTGTGATGTAGTTGGTGCACCTGGAACACCTCAGCACACAGTTTGAGAACTGTGGCTCTAACTACTTTTTGGTTTTGATTTTCTTCATTGCAAGGTAGGAGGAGGAAAGTTAGAGGTGGGGAGTATCTTACTTCATTGACCAAATGTTGGTTCTTTATCTCACTCTGATTCTCTCTGGTCCATGTTGATGGACGTTCATATTCATCAATTCCCCCTCTATCACTGAGTACCTTTTCAGGCAAGAGTAGCTTCCCCCTCCCCTTTGGTCTTTGGTTTACATCTCCAGTTTACCTCACTTAGCCATGTGTCTATTTGGGCATTCCTTTCAATTTCCAGACTTCCTATTTTTTCTCATGAAGCCTGGAGAACTCCTGGGGCCTATTTTAGTATTTCTGGAAGGCCTTGGAGAACCTGAGAAAAGAATTTGCTCCTTTTTTTTTTCTGTTTTTTTTTTTGGTTTTTTTGTTTGTTTTTTTACTTAAGATACAATTGACATAGAACATTATATTAGTTTCAGGTATACAACATAATAATATGTTTGTATACATTACAAAATGTTCACCACAATAAGTCTAGTTTACATCCATCATCTTACACAGTTTCAATTTTTTTCATGTGATGAGAACTTTTGAGATCTACACTCTTAGCAACTTTCAAATATGTAATACAGTACTAATAACTATAGTCACCATGCTGTACATTACATCCCCAGGATTTATTTATTTTATTACTCAAAGTTTATATCTTTTGACTCCCTTCACCAGTTTCTCCATCTTCCATTCTTCCTCTGGCAACCACCAGTCTATTCTTTGTATCTATGAGCTGGGTTTTGTTTTGAGTCCCCATGTAAGTGAGATCAGATGGCATTTATCTTTGTCTGACTTATTTCACTGAGCAAAATGCCCTTGAGATCCATCCATTTTGCCACAATGGCATGATTTCCTTCATTTTTATTTCTGAAAAATATTTCAAAATATTTCATTATATATCATATATTCTTTATCCATTCATTCATTCATTCATTCAGGAATACATAGGTTGGGTGCCTGGGTGGCTCAGTTGGTTAAGCGACTGCCTTCGGCTCAGGTCATGATCCTGGAGTCCCTGGATCGAGTCCCACATCGGGCTCCTTGCTCAGCAGGGGGTCTGCTTCTCCCTCTGACCCTCCCCCCTCTCATGTGCTCTCTCTCTCTCTCAAATAAATAAATAAAATCTTTAAAAAAAAAAAAAAGGAATACATAGGTTGTTTAGTCTATATCTTGGCTACTGTAAATAATGCTGCAGTGGAGGTGGGGGTACATGTATCTTTTTGAGTTAGTTTTCTTCAGCTAAGTACCCAGAAGTGGAATTACTGGATCATATGGTAGTTCTATCTTTAATTTTTTGAGGAGCCCCCATACTGTTTTCCATAGTGGCCAACAGTGCACAGGGGTTCCCTTTTCTTCACGTCCTTGCCAACAATTTCTCTTCTTTCTTTCTTTCTTTTTCTTTCTTTCTTTCTTTCTTTCTTTCTTTCTTTCTTTCTTTCATTCTTTCTTTCTATGATAACCATTCTAAAAGGTGTGAATTGATGTATCATTGTGGTTTTGATTTGCATTTCCCTGCCGATTAGTGATGTTGAGCATCTTTTTGTGTATCTGTTAGCCGTCAGTATTTCTTCTTTGGAAAAATGTCTAGTTAGATTTTCTGTTCATTTTTAATTGAATTGTTAGTGTATATTTTTTTGCTATTCAGTTCTATGAATTATTTTCCTAATTTTTTGCTAAAAGCATTCTTTTCCTTTGCAGCCAAAGTTCTAGAGAGATTATGTGGGAAGCAAAGACAAAAGAAACATTAAATTTCCTTACTACTTCACAGCCAGCCCATTAACAAGTCCTTGAAACAGGCTGACATTCCTCTAGGAACTCAGCTGCCTCGATGTTAATACTTTGCTAAGGTCAAAAGGTAATCTTAGCCCAAACCCCAGAATACTATAAATCTACTTTAACATATAAAAATACTTTTGGCGGGGAACCTAGGTGGCTCAATTGGATAAACATCTACCTTAGGCCCAAGTCATGATCTCAGAGTCCTGGGATTGAGCCCTGTATTGGGCTCCCCGCTCAGCCTCCTGCTCATGTGATGTCACTCTCTCTCTCTCAAATAAGTAAAAAAATATATATATTAAAAAAAAAGTACCTTTGCAAACTTCCTTTATCTCTACCTCCCAAGATATATGTTAGCAGTCATCCCCTAAGCATATGACCCACAGATATAAATATGAAGGGTCTCATTACTAAGGTTTTATTAGACAATAATAAATAACCTTTTCTAACAATAGCTAGTCCCCTCAAAGTTCCTGGAAACCTTGCTTCCAAAATTCCTAGGAGACTCGCTATCCCTAACCACCTCCCAACTTGAAAGTATATACTCAGCCACTCCTCATGACCCCAATGCAGCTCTTTCTGCCCACAGGTCTTGTCTCTGTGCTTTAAGAAAACCCCCTTATTGCACCAAAGACATCTCAAGAATTATTTCTTGGCTGTTGGCTCCAAAACTCAACATCTTTCCTATATCAAGAGACGTAAGTTATCCTTATTTTTTTACCTTGTACTCCAAAATGTACTTCTGTCTGGCTCCTGATCCCATCGGTCCATAAAGTAATTCTTGCTAGGGTGAACAGTTACTCCAAGTTGCTAAATCCAATAGACGTTTTCAGTTCTCATTTTAACTTTTCAGCAGAACTTGAGACATTTGACCACATTCTTTTTGAAACATCATCTTCCCTTGGTTTACAAAACATGCCATTTCTCTTATTGTTCTAACTCACTTTCTCTCTGGCCTGACTCTAATTTTCAACTTCATTTTTTCTCCTTTGTTCCCTAACTTTGAACCTTCTTTCCACCTTTGCTCTTAAATGATAGCCTTGTTTCTTATTCTCATTGAAAAAATTGAAGACTTCCATACCCATCAATCGTACTTGCATTTGTGTTCCTTAGTTAAGGCAACTTCTTACTTCAGAATTAGATCCCTGCCTTCTTGTGTACTCTACTGAATCATTCTCATTCAGTAAATATGCTATTATTATTTTGATTTTTTAAAAAGCAAAGCAAATGATGTGGAGAACAAAGGCAAAAGAAATATAGGAAAAAAAGTAAACTTTCTCACAACTTAATAGCCCATTGACAAATACCTGGGACAAGCCGAGTGACCTTCGTCCAGAAAATCAACTGCCTCAATGTTAATACTTTGCTAGAGGCAAAAGGCAACCCTAGCTTGATACTAGCCCAACCTCCAGGACCCTAAAAGTCTTCTTTAACATATAAAAATCCCTTTGGAAACTTTCTTTATCTCTACCCCAATAATGAGGGAGCAAAAGGCAAAATGAGGGCATAGATAGCACAAGCTAACACCCAGCAACACTCCCCCCCCCTCATATGCGTGACATTCCTCAGGCATTCCAGGCTGCCCTAGAACAAAGGAAAGGAAAAAACAAATGGTTAACTGATAGAGATCACAGGCAGGACCTGAGCCTCCATTAGTTTGCAACTGTCTTAATGATTTACAAGAAAAAAGCAGCCTCCAAAACCTATAGATTCAATTTACTGGAGCCCTAACATCACCCTCCTCTCCATAGGATAAAGAATCTTACATAATCAGTCTCTCCTTTACAACCCCAGTGCAGCTCTTTCTGCCTGTGGGTCCTGTCACCCTACTATAATAAAAACACTTTTGGCACCAGAGACATCTTAAGAATTCTTTCTTGGCCTTTGGCTCTGAACCCCACCACTCCAAACCATATCAGCCCCAAGATATATGTTAGCAATCATCCTCCAAACATATGGCCCACTGATGTATATCTGAAGGGTCTCATGACTAAGGTTTTACTAGACAGTAATAAATGCCCCCTCAAGATCCTGGAAACCTTGCTTCCATTTCCTTAGGGACTTAGGCTATCCCTAACACCCTCCCAATCTGAAAGTATATAAAATCAGTCACTCCTCACAACTGCAGTGCAGCTCTTTCTGCCCATGGGTCTGTCCCTGTGTTTTATAAAACCACCTTTTTTTGCACCAAAGACATCTCAAGAATTCTTTCTTGACCATATGGTCTGAAACCCCAATATTTCACATCAGCAAATATACAAATTTAAAAGAAAACCTTTTGTTTCCACTTCCCTCTCCAGCCATTTCTTTCTGTTTATAGCAAAATTGCTAGAAATAATGCTGTATGTTTGTTGTCTCCACTCTTTTTTTCTCTCATATTTTCTTTAATTTTGTTAAAAACAACAACAACAACAAAAAACTGCAGGCCCAAAATGGCATCACTGGGCCAAGTCACCAAAACAAGGGTTAATACATAATGTAATTATAGTTTCAACCTCCCCTAAACATACAATCTTAACTGGTCAGTCAGGAATTTTCTGTTAAGTATCAATAAGGTAATCTGTCAGATGGGCCCTTTCTTGCCCCCAAAGGAAGATGAGGTAATCCATCTAATAAGACCTCCTACCATTCCCCATAAGGGAAGGTGACCTTGCCTGGGACAATCTTTTCTCTTTTTCTTTCTTTCTTTCTTTCTTTCTTTCTTTCTTTCTTTCTTTCTTTCTTTCTTTTCTTTTCTTTTCTTTTCTTTTCTTTTTTTTCTTTTCTTTTCTTTTCTTTTCTTTTCTTTCTTTCTTTTCTTTCTTTCTTTCTTTCTTCTTTTCTTTCTTTCTTTCTTTCTTTTCTTTCTTTCTTTCTTTCTTTCTTTCTTTCTTTCTTTCTTTCTTTCTTTCTTTCTTTCTCTTTCTTCCTTCCTTCCTTTTTCTTTCTTTCCTTCTTTCTTTCTTTTTTTTTTTTTGCTAATAAACTTCTTGCTCCACCCTCCTTCTTATGAAAATCTTTTATTTTGTACAACTCCTTGGAGCTCCCCTACCTACTAGATGGGATGGTGCCTGATTCATGAAATTCATAAAACCAATTAGATCTTCAAATTTACTCAATTGAATTTTTATTCTTTAACAGATTTGGTGGCAGCAGTGGGATCCAAAGCAAATCTCCATCAACATTCAGGGACAATGAGAAACACAAGCATGGCGCCCTGTTAACCCTTTTGAATTCACTTTCTTGCTGTTTTCAAAGGCCATTGGTGAGTTCCTATGAGTTTGAGCTCTGTGCTCTGCATTTGAGCTCCTGATCTAATTGGCTTTTTTGTCCAGGGTTAACAGGTCACTGTAGACTAAGAGGAAGCACTAACAGATCATTAGTCAGCCCTCAGTTCAGGCCACAATTCCATATCAGAATCTCTTCCCTCATTCTAGTCTGCAGTCCCCATTTACTGGAGTTTGCTGGTTTAGTCCACGTTGGACTAGCCAGAGCTGCACTGGGTTAGACTTAAGAACCAGAATGAGTTCAGGATCAGACTGGGTCTGATTTAAGAACCATAATGGGTCTGGGATTGGACCAGGTCTGATTTGAGCTGGACGGCATTTAGTGTGAGGCCTTGGTGTTTTAAATAAAAACCAGTTGCTAATGGGGAATCTTGGAAGCCAGAAATAAAGCTGCAAATATTGGTGGGCATGGATTGAGCATTTAAAGGCTTTGCCACCTCAAGAAGTCTCCCATGATAGGATAAGTTGGTTATGGAATGGGTTAAACTGACACTAGGTCACTTGCCAACTTCAAGAAAATTTCTGTGCAATGAGGTACACTGTAAACACCCCACAAATACCAACTCCATGGCACATCCCTCTTAGATATTAGTTTGCCTCTAAGAAACCTAGCTAAAAGGCCTAGCTAAAAGAAATAGGATTCTTTATATCAAGAGAGTTGAGCACATTGCCTCTGGCACCCCTGCTTATTTTGTGTCTAAGAACTATAGTCCTGGTAGTTGGAGATATCTAGCAAGATGGAACAATTTTACTAAAAAACAACCTGGGATTACAATGGCTATTAAGGGGAATGTTACAATTAGATAAGATCATTTAAGAACACTTGTAATTAACGGTTCCCAAATTAAATAGAATGGGATACTTATTTTTTTTTTTTTAAGATTTTATTTATTTATTTGACAGAGAGAGACACAGCGAGAGAGGGAACACAAGCAGGGGGAGTGGGT